ACTTTCTATGGTGATAGGTTACACTACCTGCATTGCATATTGTCAACATAGATTTGCAAACATACATACTGATATTTAGTATTAGATCATCAAGATGTTGTATATATTCACACATGCAAAAAAACAAAAACTACTCGGTGTTGTTATTTCTCAAAGTTGAAATGTTTATTTTCATATATTGCCATAACATGTATGTCAACATAACGCTTTTTTGAGATAAGTAATTGTCAATATATTTTAATATATTTAAACTGTTGTCCTCATCTTGATTGTTATAGATGTTATTATCAACACATTTCGACCAAATATCTTTCAGTAATTACTCATCTCAAAAATGCAATACAAAAATTATCAAAAAGCAGTATGAGTCTGCTATGATAAAAGAAATGTCAAAATCATCTGGCAGGGAACATAAAGGCTCCAAAAATACAAATCTAATGTCCTTTGGGACAGTGGTGTAATGGATATAGTTGGTTAAATATGTCTTATTATCATGTGAGTTCAATCTCTGGATCAGGTATTGAAACACAAGAATGGACAATAACTAGCTTCACAGATATTGCAATGGACAGCTGATGATGGATGGAGGGTATTTGGCTGAAATGTTGTCTATAATAATAGTTAAAATAATCAAGGTGAAAACAATAGTTTGAAATATTTAAAGTATATTGCTTTTTATTTACTTGTGGAGAAAATTACTTTTGTTTTTTTTATAATTGTTTTTGTTTAGATTCAAAAGAACTGTTTATTAACAAAAGCAAATTTGGTATCTGTCTATATTTCTGAGATGAGGTATTATGTACATTATTTACATTATTCGGACTATTGTCATCAAGGACACATGGCACAGTGGATAAAGGCATTGGTTAGATCCAGTGACAGAACCCAAAGAGTGTGAGTTCAATACCCGGTTAAGGCAGTGGAGAACTTTCAGAGGGAAATTAACAGGAGATAACTGATAACTGACATCCATTAAACATGACACGTGGAACTAGAACAGTCTACCCCAGGGAGCGAAATAAAGGGTTCAGTTCGACATTCCAACCAATTGAAGAAGGCTGGAGCCTACAACGGCTAAAATGTAATAAATATGGCGACAAAGATGAGGACAATAGTGCGAATAATGTAAAAGCAAATTTATGCTGAAATTTTAGCCTTTTGGGAACTGAACATTTATATCAGTGTTTACATGTAGAAAAAAACCTTATTAAGAAGCACAGAATTATCTGTCCCTCTAAGTTTAATGTAGGCACAAAGCATGTACTTACTCATGGACCAGAAAGTTATTTGCTTTCATAAATAGTGTTTTGCACAACTTTCAGTTTGTTAGTCTTTCCAGCAATGAGTCAAATTTTACACAGCCTATCAATAAACAAGAAATATGTAATTTTCATGTTTCTTTTATTACATTTGTCTGTGACATCTGGTATCTCATTTTATAAATTTAAAAATGAAAATAAATTCCACATTGTTCTTTGAATACTTTTCAGTTATTCAGAAAATTAAAAATGAAATAATTAGTTTTGTTTTCTTTTATGGCATATCAACTGTTTTCAGGTTATTTAATACCAGATCCTATTGTTTTTGTAAACAATAGATAGGTAAACCTGTCTGATTTTCAGGAATCATAAAGATGGATATAGGTAAATAGGTGGCCCTCTTTCTGGGGGATAGTGAGTTACCCCTTTGCACATGGATGAAGTTGCATATTCTTGACCCCTAAACAGTAAGGCAAATAAAATAATTATTAAACCTATTTTCTTGCTTGATCAGCTCAATGATGTTACTTTAAACAACAACAAAAAAATTATCCAGAAGTATTTTATTTGACATGGCAGTAATATACAGCAATTAGTAAAAGAAATGAGCCACCAAGTAAAAATCACTTTTGCTTAATTTTTAATAAGAATTTTTAAATATTCAACAATGTACTTTCAAGTGTATTATCTGTGGTGATTTGAGACAGTAATGCAAGTAGTTGCATTCACATGGATCTGGTATAAGGGGAAATAAAGACCTGAATGCACTGGGTGACTGAAAATAGAGCAATCAAAAGTTGAGTCACTAGAAGAAATCAAAATTTCACAAAATTTATATATTTAGGGGACATTAAAAGACATAATCATTATTTAGTCTGGCTCTCATTTGTACAAATTACACTTTCAATTTGAGATTGGACAGAGGAGTACCACTTAAAAGTTGTTTAATTGGAAATATTCTGCCATTCTTCTTGCAATTTCTTTGGCTTTCTGCTATAGACCAAAGATTTCAGTTCTCTCCACATAGATGATGTTAAGGCCAGGCCTTTAAGCAGGCCCATCATGTAGCATTGAAATGTCTTCATCAGTGAGAAACATTTTTGTTTCATGCAATGTGCGGCAAGGTGATCCGCCATTTTGAAATCTTTCACCTTCTATATCTGGTTTGATGTTAATGATGTAATGAAGCTGCCACCATCAAATTTTACTGTATTTGTTGGATATTTTGTATTGTTTTTTTTTTTTGTTATACCAATCAGTATTCAGATATACTCTCTTCTAGAATTCATTTCTATTGGGCATTTGTCAGTATATATTACATTTTGCCCATTTTTCATTATCTCATAGCAGATGTTCTTTTACCGAGTGTTTTTGTCTTATTTGATATTTTTTGGTTAATGATGACTTTTTTGATTATTTATATAGTAAGTTATTTTTTAAAACATCTATTGGACAAAGTAACCTAAAAATATTCAGTAAACCTGTCACCTGGTTGTTCTTGGAGATAGCTTTTGACTTTTTATGATCTGCTGCTTTTAACAAGATCAAATAATACTTCGGGTAATCAAATAAAATAAGGATTTTTTTTCTTTTTGAAATTAAGATTATCAACAAATTCTTTTTTTATCGGAGCTGTAAAGTCTTGCCAGATTGTTTAAGACAAAGAGGAGTAAGACTTATGTTTTATTGTCATTAGATATCAAATTTTAATTACAATTGCTGTTTATATATACAAGTGAATTTCAAATTAATGGGGTATTTTATAAAAAAAAAAAAACAATTTTCAGTAATTTATTTGGTTGAGCTAGCTCAGACATTCATAAGTCTATCATGCCAACTATCATAGTCCTGCATCAAGGTCGGAAGGTTGTTAGGGTGGCATTCTGTGTCATAACATAGCTGGTCAATGTAGGTGGTTACTGGGCAACCAATCCGTCTTGCATTCTGTGTTCATGTAAGATTGTAAGAATATCAGGGATAGGTTCATAGAACTGTGATTTTTTGGGATGTTGTCTCCAAGAGATGTTAAGTATAGCTCTCAGCATCTGAGTGTAGGTTTCATCAAGTTTAGACTCTAGGGTTTTAGTTAATGCCCAAGCAGTGGCACTATATATTAAAACAGCCTCAACGGTGGCTCGAAAGAATCTTCAGTTGAGGTTGTTTGATAGATCATATATTCTTATTACATCCATTTTATTGAAGGCAGCCCAGGCTTTAGTTATGTGAATCTTCACATTGTTTTCAGTAGAATTTATCTTGCTTCCTAGGTATGTAAAAATTTCAACAGGTTTTATTGATTCACCTGAGACAGTTTGTATTGAGCCTTACTAGTTGAAGCCTATGAATTCAGTTTTAGAGGCATTGGTATAGAGTCCAACATCATTGACAGCATTTTCTAGATGTAGGAGAACTGTAGCATTGGTAATCATGTCTGCAGTGATAGTTCAGTCATCTGCACAAACAATATCTGTCAACTTCTTTGACAAGTCTTGGAGATAAAGTAAACCTTGATGATGATGTTTGTTGAGCTCTTTTCAGTAATGGGTGGATAGAAATTTCTTGAATATTTAATAAAAAGTGATGGGTGGAATAAAGATGCCTTGGATAGATTTTTTTTTTTTTGAAAATAGAATAATCATTCCTGTCCATTTATTTGAAGCTCAAAGTTATTTAATTTTCTTACTATATGAACAATTAAAGAATATTATTGTGTACTTTAAAATCATAATTCACTCATGCAAGAAATGTAAACTACTTTTGTAATCTAAATTAAAATTATTAAATTTTTATGCTAGCTTTTATAGACCAAAATGTATTTCATATTCTGAGCACACATTTTATTCCATCCATGAATAAATTAAAATATACTTCAGTGAATTACCAATGAAACTTAAAAATTATAAACATATTTTGGGCTGTTTTTTTTTTTTTTTAAGTACACCAGATATTGGAAAACCAATATAAAATAAATTCATCCATATTTTTTTTTTTTTTTACAAGAAGGAAGTTGCTGTTATTAGCATGTTAATAGATAAATATTGCCATTCAGACACTAATTTTCACTTTATTTTTGATGCATCATATTTTTCTGATTTTTCATATATATTTTGGCTTATAGATACTTATTGTCACAGAAATAATATTTTTATTTATTTTTAGATTTTTTTAAAAAAAAATATTTATGGGGAAAAATATGTGTTCAGAATATGATGAGGCTAAATAATGCAATCTAAGCACGTATTTGGATTGTGAAAAACGTTTTGGACGCTAAAATTGAAGATATCTAACTTAAAAGGTATTATTTTATTTTTAACACAAAATTGGCCTAATCATGCCCTTTACAAAAATGGCAGTTTCTTTTTAAGAACAAACTTTTTCTATGACCATTAAAATATTGAATTTTCAATAAATTTAAAAATGATTGCTTACTCCATTTTAATATATGGTTTTATTCAATCAGGATTTCTGTAGAATTAATATTTCTAGTAGTATCTTTGTACATGAACTTTTTCTCTAAGTGATTTTGGAGATTGTTATTTGAGTTTCAAATGATTTTTGGAAACAAACAACTGATGTACTTCTCTTAAACTTTTTGAATTTGCCTCATATTCTGATCCCTCTTGTTTTGAGAAGTGCAGAAGCATGGAAATGCTACAAAAAGAAGCTACAAAACCAGTTTTCTAGCAATAATTAGTCTTGAGAGGCAGGGAGTGGCGGTTATGTCCCAAGAAATTTAAATAGGTGCTTTTTTTTCATTTTTTTTCTTTCTCTTTCTTTTTTCTTCTTTCTTTCTTTCTTTTTTCTTCTTTCTTTCTTTCTTTTTTCTTTTTTTTTTCTTTCTTTTTTTCTCTTTCTTTTTTCTACTTTTTCTTTTTTCTTCTTTCTCTTTCTTTCTTTTTTCTTTCTTTCTCTTTCTTTTTTCTTTCTTTCTTTTTCTTCTTTCTTTCTTTCTATTTCTTCTTTCTTTCTCTTTTTTCTTTCTATCTCTTTTTTCTTTCTATCTCTTTTTTCTTTCTATCTCTTTTTTCTTTCTATCTCTTTTTTTCTTTCTATCTCTTTTTTCTTTCTATCTCTTTTTCTTTCTATCTCTTTTTCTTTCTATCTCTTTTTCTTTCTATCTCTTTTTCTTTCTATCTCTCTTTTTCTTTCTATCTCTTTTTTCTTTCTATCTCTTTTTCTTTCTATCTCTTTTTCTTTCTATCTCTTTTTCTTTCTATCTCTTTTTTCTTTCTATCTCTTTTTTTTCTTTCTTTTTCTTTCTATCTCTTTTTTCTTTCTATCTCTTTTTTCTTTCTATCTCTTTTTTCTTTCTATCTCTTTTTTCTTTCTATCTCTTTTTTCTTTCTATCTCTTTTTTCTTTCTATCTCTTTTTTCTTTCTATCTCTTTTTTCTTTCTATCTCTTTTTTCTTTCTATCTCTTTTTCTTTCTATCTCTTTTTTCTTTCTATCTCTTTTTTCTTTCTATCTCTTTTTTCTTTCTATCTCTTTTTCTTTCTATCTCTTTTTCTTTCTATCTCTTTTTCTTTCTTTCTCTTTTTTCTTTCTATCTCTTTTTTTTCTTCTCTCTTTTTCTTCTTTCTCTCTTTTTCTTTTTTCTCTTTTTCTTCTTTTCTTTTCTTTCTCTCTTTTTTTTTTTCTTTCTTTTTCTCTCTTTTCTTCTTTCTTTCTCTCTCTTTTTCTTCTTTCTTTCTCTCTCTTTTTTCTTCTTTCTTTCTCTCTCTTTTTTCTTCTTTCTTTCTCTCTCTTTTTTCTTCTTTCTTTCTCTCTCTTTTTTCTTCTTTCTTTCTCTCTCTTTTTTCTTCTTTCTTTCTCTCTCTTTTTTCTTCTTTCTTTCTCTTTCTTTTTTCTTTCTTTCTTTCTCTTTTTCTTCTTTCTTTTCTTTCTTCTTTCTTTCTCTTTCTTTTTTTCTTCTTTCTCTTTCTTTTTTTTCTTCTTTCTTTCTCTCTCTTTTTTCTTCTTTCTTTCTCTTTCTTTTTTCTTCTTTCTTTCTCTTTCTTTTTTCTTCTTTCTTTCTCTTTCTTTTTTTTTCTTTCTTTCTCTTTCTTTTTTCTTCTTTCTTTCTCTTTCTTTTTTCTTCTTTCTCTTTCTTTTTTCTTCTTTCTTTCTTTTCTTTTTTTCTTCTTTCTTTCTTTCTTCTTTCTTTTTTCTTTTTTCTTTCTTTCTTTCTTTCTTTTTCTTCTTTCTTTCTTTCTCTTTCTTTTCTTTCTTTCTTTCTCTTTCTTTTTTTTCTTTCTTTCTTTCTCTTTCTTTTTTCTTTTTTCTTTCTCTTTTTTTTTTCTTTTTTCTTTTCTTTCTTTTTTCTTCTTTCTTTTTTCTCTTTCTTTTTTTCTTTCTTTCTTTCTCTTTCTTTTTCTTCTTTCTTTCTTTCTCTTTCTTTTTTTTCTTTCTTTCTTTCTCTTTTTTTTTCTTCTTTCTTTCTTTCTCTTTTTTTTTCTTTCTTTCTTTCTTTCTCTTTTTTCTTTCTTTCTTTCTTTCTCTTTTTTTTTCTTTCTTTCTTTCTTTCTCTTTCTTTTTTCTTTCTTTCTTTCTTTCTCTTTCTTTTTTCTTTCTTTCTTTCTTTCTCTTTCTTTTTTCTTTCTTTCTTTCTTTTTTTTTTCTTTCTTTCTTTCTTTCTTTCTCTTTCTTTTTTCTTTCTTTCTTTCTTTCTTTTTTTCTTTCTTTCTTTCTTTCTCTTTCTTTTTTCTTTCTTTCTTTCTTTCTTTTTCTTTCTTTCTTTCTTTCTTTCTTTCTTTTTTCTTCTTTCTTTCTTTCTCTTTTTTTCTTCTTTCTTTCTTTCTCTTTCTTTTTCTTCTTTCTTTCTTTCTCTTTCTTTTTTCTTTTTCTTTCTTTCTTTCTTTTTCTTCTTTCTTTCTTTCTCTTTCTTTTTTCTTCTTTCTTTCTTTCTCTTTCTTTTTTCTTCTTTCTTTCTTTCTCTTTCTTTTTTCTTTCTTTCTTTCTTTCTCTTTCTTTTTTCTTTCTTTCTTTCTTTCTCTTTCTTTTTCTTTCTTTCTTTCTTTCTCTTTCTTTTTTCTTTCTTTCTTTCTTTCTCTTTCTTTTTCTTTTTTCTTTCTTTTCTTTCTTTCTTTCTTTCTTTTTTTTTTCTTTCTTTCTTTCTTTCTCTTTTTTCTTTCTTTCTTTCTTTCTCTTTTTTCTTTCTTTCTTTCTTTCTCTTTCTTTTTTCTTTCTTTCTTTCTTTCTCTTTCTTTCTTTCTTTCTTTCTTTCTCTTTCTTTTTTCTTCTTTCTTTCTTTCTCTTTCTTTTTTCTTCTTTCTTTCTTTCTCTTTCTTTTTTCTTCTTTCTTTCTTTCTCTTTCTTTTTTCTTCTTTCTTTCGTTCTCTTTCTTTTTTCTTCTTTCTTTCGTTCTCTTTCTTTTTTCTTTCGTTCTCTCTCTTTTTTCTTCTTTCTTTCGTTCTCTCTCTTTTTTCTTCTTTCTTTCGTCTCTCTCTTCTTTCTTTCTCTTTCTCTTCTTTCTTTCTCTTTTCTTCTTTCTTTCTTTCTCTTTTCTCTCTCTATCTATAGACAAATTAATAGTTTAAATATACTTTTTATTTTTGATACATGATTTTTTTCAAATCCAAAGGCAACAGGTCCTACCCTTTTTTAAAAATATTATTTTACTTATTTGTTTTACAAATTAATTCTGCTTAGACAAATGTTGAATTATATTCTTCTATCTGCCTTGTCTCTTCATAATGTGGGCCATAATTACCCACATTATGAAGTGATTTCCTATCTATTCCAGCTCTAAGCAATGTTTGTCTTCTTACTATCCCTTCTAGTCAATGATGCACAAGCTCATTAAATAGGTTACTTAGTTTCCCTTTGCCACTCCTACCTTCAATATGTCCTATGAGTGTCAAATTCTCTTCGCCCTGTTTCCTCGTTGTGTCTCAGAAATTTCAACTGTATCTTTATGATTTTGAGTTATAAATACCCTTTTAATTCTTACAGTCCTTAATACTTTCTCATTGTTTGCTTGTTCTAGTCATTGTATTCTCAGCATCCTTCTGTAGAACCATATTTCTGTTGCCTCAAGTCTCCTCTTCATCTGTGAAGAAATTGTCCAGTATTCACTGCCATAAAGCTGATTGATATGACAGCATTTTAGTACACTTGTTTTAGTTCATCTAACTTACAGAGAAATAGTTGAACTAAAAAAATTATTGAATTTCGGGTGGGTGGGTGGCTGGTGTTAGGGCGCTTTCGTTTTGTTTTATTGCTTGCATGTCTTTTTGAGTTTTCAAATACAAAAAACAGGATACAGAATGAGACTAGGAGTTTAAAAAAAAAGTTTAAGGCGAATGAAAAGAAGTACAGTGTAACCCGGATGTAAGAGAGTTGTCGGGACCGGAGAAGAAGTCTCTTATATCCGGGTTTCTCCTATTTTATATACATTAACACAGGCTCTAATTTGGGACCAGAGAAAATCTCTCTTATATCCGGGTTTGTTTGGTATGCCGAAATTGTTTGAAACGTTAAACTTAACAATTACCCAGCCTGCTTTTTAATTCTTGATTCACAGTATTTTTTTTTAAATATATAAGACAAGAAGAGAGAGGATTCACTCAGTGTACATCGGAACTTTCATTTTCACTACAATAACATTATTTTTCAATTTCTTGTCATTTTATTTTTAATTCTAACGCTTCTTTTTCATTGTTGTTATTGGCGTTTAACAACAATTATTTTAAAGTGTAATTATTATTGATTGAAGCGATGTCCGCTACAACAATGTTTAAAAATGTTTCTCATTCATCACAGCTGCCTGTCGTCGTGTTCTTTCTGAGGTCTTTCTTACCAAGATTTTGACTTGTCACCATATTACCCCTCTCTCTTGTTGTAACCAGCCCAGCAATTTCCCGCCTGTTTCGACCCTGTTATTATTAGACACCTACTTCTGTACTTACACCCCCAGGGTCACAAAAACAAATGTAATGCCGCTTGTATAGGAAATTCGAAAGAGCTGGATTATGTTTCCACATCTTTTTTTTTTTTTCTTTTTTTTTTTTTTCTTTAAATGGAAGAAAGTTTGATACCGGACACCACCCAGTTCTCGCACACTTTCTTTTTGTTGCCTTGGAAATCTTGATGTTGTGATCTTAATTTCCTTATTGTCTGAGTCTATTATTATTTAAATATAGAACAGTTTTTTTTGTGTGTGTGTTTTTTTTTTTTTAAAGTTATAAACGTATTTTCTTTATTTTTCTAATCAAATTGCATATACCGAAAATTAATGTTATTTCTGTAAATACCTATTATTATTGCACAGTTTATTTATTTTTAAAAAAAATACATTTCATTTAATAATCTTACAGTTTTTTTAACTAACATCAAAAGAAAGAAAAGTATTTCAAGTTTTCCATTAATTCCGTTAAGTACATTGTCATTGACGGTGCTTTTTGCTAAAACTGAGAATTAAACAGAAGACCAAATTTGTCCTCTTGGCCAAAATCTATGACACTGCTATTGAGCTGGGCTGTAAAATCATTATTGACTTTGATTTTCAAAATAAATCAGGAAACGTCATTACCCCCCCCCCCGCCATATATACATTCATTAGCTTGTACAACTTATGCAGATTACCTCCACTTGGTCTTTTAAGACACCATTAGATGGCACTGTTTAAGGACTATAAAAGAAGGAGAATGGGCCCTTCTCTTTCATCCTTTCAACTCTCGCATTCAACACACACTTCCTCCCCTTAGCAACTGAACACTTTCTCTTTTGTTGTAATTTTAGACAATGAATTGCTTGTTTATTTGTTCATTTACATATGACAATTTTCATTGAGCCAGTATCTGCAGAAATGTCTATAGGTCTCATCCCAGAAAATAAAGTTTAAGTGAAAAGAAGAAAAAAGTGTCTTTAAGTTAGGTATCTCCACAGGTTCACAATACCTAAGGTTTAAAATGAATTTTTTAAAATGAAAAATCTTTCTTTTATTTTAGTTTTAATTTCAAACTAATAGATTAAATTTAATATTTCCAATAAGCAAAATACTTTGTTCTATTTCAAACTAATTTAAATTGATTTGAAGGAGTTTTTGTTTTGAAAGTGTTGATTTTTAGTGCCACTTTTAGCCATGTTTCATCAGAATGTAATTCTCTTTATTAAACAATAAAATAGAGTACTTTTCAGAAACTTAGAAAATTATTAGCTGATTTAAAGTTTAATTAATCTGATTTGAAACAAATATTACTTTGTTTAAATTATCTCAGAAATGTATCTTTTTAACATGGCAGTAGCTGTTTCTTTAAGGTGTTGTCAGCTTGAATGACAGGCGAAAGTTTATCTAATATTTTTCTACAGTAGATATATCTATAAAAAATAATTGAGGAATATAATGTGAGTGCCTTTTTTTGTATAATTTTTTAAGTACTCAGTTTCCTTAAAAATTTAGGAAAATATTCTCCATAATCTAATGTTTTATTGAATTTAAGATACTTTGGTTTTAAATTTACTATAGTTAGCGCTCTTATTTTCTGGTAAATTTGTGTATGAACATTGGTATCTTCAAAAATTGGTACGTTTATACACACACAAAAAAAATTTTTATTCTTTTTAAAATCCTGGGGATTACTAAATTGTAATAAGTTTTTGAATTTGTGATTAGTAAATTTAGTTTTTATTTAATAACAATATCACTTAACCGTTACAAATTAATACAAAATTTTAAGATTTAAAACTTTAATAAAAAAAATGAAAACAATTCTTGTAAAAATTCATTATTCATTGAAAAAAATTTTCTTATGACAATTGTGACCATAATATCTTATTCATAAAAGCAATTAAAAGCTTTTCTAATTAAATAATATCTTAGTTATATTGTATTTTATTATTTATGATTCAGAGCAGATTTTTGGTAACTTGGGGTCATGTTTTACAAAAAAAAATTGATAATTTAAATTCTCCAAGGAGTTCTGCTTTTAATTAATATAAACATTAAGCTCTATAAATTTAATTTCTTGAAATTTCATAAATTAAAATAAGTGGGATATAACAGATATATATATATATATATATATATATATATATATATATATATATATAACCAAGATTTTCTATAAGGAAAGATTTCTAACATATTTCATTCATTTTTTAATAAGTCCTAAAAGTTTCATTAAAAGCCGACAATTTGATATTTGCAAGAATTTCAAAATCTGTGTTTTTCGCTGAAAAAAAAAAAGATGCTAAAATATGCTATAGGCCACCTGCTGACACAAAAAACAAAAACTAGATTTTTAACCAAAATTTCAAATATTCTAAAAGTCTTGTAATAATAACTAAGATTTTAGCAATAAAACTTTGTTTTTATCAAATTTAGGGCATTTTTTCATCATGGTAGGCTTTTCTTTTTTCTTTAGCGAATTAGTGCAGGTACCTACTTTGAATTAAAACAAAATATTTACAGTTGGAGAACAATGTTTGTTTTATGAAAGGATCAGATGAAAAATACAGAATCAAGAATCTTTTAAATTTAGTCCCCTCATTTTTAACATCTGATTTACTGCTACCCCTCTTTTATTTTACTTGTGTGGAAAGCAAGTTCTCACCTTTTGGTTTCAATTCTGTTTCTATTTTGCTGGTCTATGCCATCTTTGGTAGAAAATCACATTGTAATGGTAATATCAAGAAAATAGATTTCTTAAATCCATTAACTGTTATTACTTTTTCTAGTATTTGTGGAGGCTTCCTTCCTAACCTTTTGTTCAGAGTAGTGTGGAATGTCAGCAACTTGATTATGTTTTTATTTTAGTTACATGTTACATGTGCTATCCATTTTAGTTGTTGCTGCTGTTGAAAGTCTTCAAGTGATGTGGTTTCTATTATTTGGTACAGTTCTTTTTTTGTCATTCTGTAGTGCCAGTCCATATTCTTGATTTGCTCAAAGCCAGAGCTTAATCATTGAAAATGGTTGCATACAGGTGATCGTTTAGATAATTCCGAATGAGTTTGGCGCCATGCATGACATCCATGTGAAAGTCTTGATCTGACAAGGCTAAGAACACAACCCTAGTTTTTAGGTTAATGTTTGGTTTTGTAGCAACTTATGATGTTGGGAAAAACTACATTCTCTGTCTTCTACCCATTTTCTTTTCATTTTTCTCTTCTTTTCATTTTTCTCTTCTTTTCATTTTTCTCTTCTTTTCATTTTTCTCTTCTTTTCATTTTTCTCTTCTTTTCATTTTTCTCTTCTTTTCATTTTTCTCTTCTTTTCATTTTTCTCTTGTTTCTTACTTATCCTCTACCTTTTCTGTTTTTCTCTATCCCTTACCCCCTTTTCCTTTCACTCTTTCTTTTCATTTTTCTCTTGCTTTCTTACTTACCCTCTACCTTTCCTTTATTTTTCTTTATCTCTTACCACTTTTCTTTTCACTTGGTTTTCTTTTCATTTTTTTCTTGCTCTCTCCCTTCAAAAATTCTTTCTCTTTTTCTCCTCTCCATAACTTTTTTCGCATGTGTAACACTTTTCATAGAACACACAGATACTCTGATCCTCAACAGAATTGCTGATTTATATATAAATAATCTTACTGATTTTTTTTTCTTTTTACTAGTAGTATGGTAATTTATTTTTAATTTCTTAGGAATATTACTCAAGTAATGGCATTTACTATACACCCACCTCATATTGACCATAATATCACTTAAACCCATTAAGTGATTTTTTTCTCTTACTCTTTTACTTTCCTTAGCAATCTTTTGTCTGTTTGGTATGTGTACACATGGAATAAAACAAAAAGATACGTACATAATCTGCTTCGATTTTGGAATATCCAATATTGATATATGTTAATAATTTGTGTATACTACTTATTGTTTCATCTCAATCTTTCTATTGCTTTCTCCAGTTAACTTGCTTTGACTTGTACGTGCAGTAATTTGATAAATGTAAAATGCTTAATTTAAACCCACTGGCAGTTCTCCAGATTTTGTTTTACCTGTGAATTAACAGGGTACTTTATGACCTTATGATAGATAGCTAAAGATTGAAATTATTTGCTTACTCTTAGTCTTAACCACAAAAGAACATATTGTTTATGAGGAAATGACAGTTCTGACCTGTGTGCAATATATAGAACTTACAAAAAACTTGTAAATGCTACTTGTTTTCCTATTGTATCCATAAACTAGTGATGTTCTATCATCACCAAGCTGACCTAGAATTTTGCTCTATCATGATGAACTGAGGTCCTCTCAAGGACAACTCATGACTTTAGCATCTGTTGGGACTTAAGCTCAAAGCAGACCTCAAGTGGAACTTGTACATACAATGCATCACTAAAGATGCTGGAAAAATGTTTGGTTCCTGTACTGCTCCAGTAAGTACTAAACTCCTCCTGTCATCCTTTATCTTTACAAGAGCCAGATAAGGCTGAAAATGGAGTACTACTGTGATATATGAGCAATGATATACACATTGTAGTGAACCAACCTCATTCTTTTTGTATTTCATTGGTGGGATGTAAGTTCCACTCAAAGAGCTTCTCACAAACCTCTACAGTTTGGAACTGACTCCCAAGAGGTTGCTTACCCAATCATTGCAATCTTAATCTGTTCAAGTCTAGTGTTAACTATTATCTTACCCACGTAACTCCATAAACTGTTCCCCTTGCTTCTTACTTTGTAACCCTGAGTGGCTTGTGAACATTATTGTTATGAGTAGACTGGAATGGATAGATAGATAGATAATGAATATACTGAAATTAATATGAATTAACTTAGACATTAACTTTCTGAGAGAGATAGCTAATGAACAGATAGATAGAAAAAAACGTTTATAGCAACACAGAAAGTGATATTGGTGATCCAAGTTCAAATCCTTGTTTAGTCTGTTTTGTTCATTTTTCTGCAAATGTCCTTGAGAAAGGCATGAATCCATCTCTTCTCACCAGCTATGGGTTAAAGACTGGACTCTGTATCTTTGGATAATAGTCAGTTTAGGAAAAAAAATTCAAAACCAAAAAAAGTCATGGCAATTTACAGATATTAAAGAAAGCCGTGGAGGACCACAATCACCCCTGTCTTGAAGGAACTTGGCATCTTAAGTAGAAATAGATATGTAAAATCTAGTGTGATTCAATGGTACAGTGTTGCACCTGCTTACTTCTTGTCTCTCATTATTAAAGCATTTTATAAGGAAAATATGAGTAAAGATTTAAATAAACTTGTATTGCTATAGGAGGGTACTGGTACCAAAAATCCAAGACACCATGAAACCATAGGACTTTCAAAGAAATTTCAAGATGCCACCACCCAATCTGGAAATTTTATATTTTTTTACACCTGTACTAAAATATTTGAAGGATATTTTAGTAAAATATCACTTGTATTTTTAATTGTTTGTATTCTAATGTTCAAAATACCTGTGTTTTATAAATGTATCATATATAATTGGAACAACCTTTTAAGCAAATAAGTTCTTACTCGGGGGGGGTTGTAAATAAGTTACCAGGCCCATGTCTGGGAGATGGTGTCAGTTTGGTTCTGAAATTTCAGTAAATACCTGGATACTAAAATGGTGTTTCACCTATTTTACCTGGTACTCACTTAAATGTTATCATTTTGATCAAGTTCTTGATTGTTACCCCCACCCCAGTATAGTGCTTTCCTATTGACACTGTTTTGTTTATACACTTCCACAAGTAAAACTTTACTTTTTTAATTTATTTATATTGAATTTATTTCCATTATTTTTATTGTCAATCAACAATAATTAAAAATTTTGGTATTTTAGTACACATGTTCCAAAATACTCTAGTTCACATTCTGTCACAGTCTTTTGAACAGGAGGAGGGGTTTATCCCTTGTTTCTCGTTTAAGATTGGGTTTCCAGTTCCTTTTAAAGCCTACTTCAACTCTATACTTCTGATGTCATTGACTGATTTTATTTATATATTATTTATTTATTTTAACTCCTCAATAGGAGTAGATAGGTTCACACCCACTCCCTGCTCTTTTGAACAGGAGTAGAGGTTTATCCCTTGTTTTTCGTTTAGGATTGGGTTTCTAGTTCCTTCTAAAGTCTTTTCATTCTCTTTCACTCTCAGTAGCCCCTTGTGTCTCAGTGGCATTATCACCTTGCTTGGGGTTAATTGATTAAAAAAAATAAAAGTTTTCAAAATTTTAATAGACGTCACCATGACACTAAACCTCATAATATTTTGGATTTTGATACTGGACTCAGAACAACACCAACCAATGATATTGAAGTCAGCGTACCATCAAATCCTACTTCTTATACAGGGTGTGATCAGTAAATTGTTGCTATTTTATATTTTTAATTTCATGCATGCATGTTATTTGTTTTTGATTTTGTTGATTTCACAGTATAGTAGGGTCAGTTGGGTGCCATCTGTGAGAAAAAGAGCACCATAATGCAATTCACTCCGCCAGAAATTTGGAAACAGCATGCTGTACTGCTTTGCATTTGCACCAATACAAACATTTCAAAGTGTTTGGGTGTCAATCTGGGAACACTGCAGAGAATTAAAAAACAGTTGGATGAGTCTGATGGTGATTAAGAAGGTGCGGTGGCTTGGAAAACGCATTTTGATCGTTCTGATGAGAAAAGAATACCCGAATTTGTTGGAGAAGGCCTCAGACTTCACATGGAGGCCTATATCAAGTGCCTTGAGGAGGCAGTGTTGCCCTGGGTGAAGAGGGTGGCTGCTGGAAGACCCTATATCTGGCAACAGGACTCTGCACCATGCCACACAAGCAGGAGAACCCAGTCATGTCAGTTAAACAATATCTGCAACTACATCACCCTCTTACATCTGGCCACTTAACTCCCCAGACTGCAACCCCTTTGATTATTATGTGTGGGGTGCAGTTGAGTTGCAGTTTTTGACCAACAAAACTTGTAATACCAAAGATGAACTCAAGGCAAGAATTATGGCAGCATTTACCAACTTAAACAAGGAGATTGTCCAGAAGAGTTGCAGAAGATTCCAAAGTTGTCTGGAGGCTGTGGTTGAAGCCAATAGCGATTTTATTGAATAAATTTACTCTTTAATATTTCAAGATATTTTTATGTAATTTTGGTAAATATATCTATTAAAATGAAATGTTAGTGTTATTTTCTTTTCTTTTTTTTGGGGGGGGTAATTTAGACGACAATTTATACATCGCACCATGTAGTAGTGGTTTGCAAAAATAACTTGTGTACAAAAAATTCCAGTATTAGCCTACAATAAACTGACTGCACTGAGAACATGCAATCAATGTATTCTAAAATGGTCCACTTTCGAGTAAATGCTTACAGCTTAAGTATAAATGACCAATCTGTACTTATATCTCTTAACTTAGTACATGCAAATATAATAAAGAGAGAAAAAAAAAGAAGAAAGCAAAGTCAATTTTTGGCAATGAATAACCCATGTTGATATGTCATAAAGCCCAACCCAATATTATTAACTATAGATGGGTGGAATTTCTATCATTTGCTGTTATATGGCCCTGCTAAGAATGAAATAAATTTCTGACACAATAAATAGGATCGTAATGTATGTACATAATTATGCAGATGTACTTAAACAATTTTCATTGTAAACATAAATAAATAAATAAAAATAATGTGAAAAAATGTGAATAATCTGGGGAAATATGTGAAAAAACATTTTCGGCAGTTGGGGGGGTGGTTAATCAAAATCTTATTTTGTTTTACATGATGTAATTTAAAAAATGTGTTCTTAAATTTTTAAAACAATACATGTTTTAATATTTATTTGCTAATGTATATATTATAACTTTTAAAACCAGAATAGAAGGATAGCTGGGGAAATTCATTCAAAATTTGTTTTTGGAGCAAAAAAGGAGAGAAAGCGGAGGTTGGAATAAATAGAGAGGTGTTGGCAAAAAATGGAAATAAAATAAAAAAAAAAATAATCTAGAATAACTGGGTAAGTTGGGAAAAATTCAAAATTTAAATAGCCAAATACAAAAGTATCATTTTCATTATTTTTTTCTGCAACAACCCTATTCTACCAGCAACACTTTAATTCCTGACCACTGACAATCCCTTTTCTCCTGATTTTCAATCAATGACATATATACTGAGAGTCAACATATGATAAGACCAGATTTTAGATTTAAAAAAAAAATACAAAAATTTGGTGTTTCATAATCATTTTTTTTTGTCTTCACTCTGAGAAATTTGATTAAAGCAAAGTGAAGTAGTGTTGGTAAAGTCAGTGGGCACTAGTAAGAAAAATTGAAACCATTATTATATATAATAATAAGTTTAGTTATGTGGCTCATTAAGGTGATAGTCTGATGGAACTTGCATTTGTTTGGGCAGCACTATGAAAATGGATATTGTATATTATATCATACATTATTTTCTAACATGGTAAATAAAGAAGCATTATTATGTGCTATAAATGTGATTTACATTTATTTTATAATTACAGCCATATCACCATATATTGGTGACAAAATTAATTTTGCAAATATTACTAATATTGTAGTTGAATCAATAAATATTTTCTTTGAGTTTCTAGTAAACGTTA